CAGTTTGGAGTACTCGCTCTACACAAAAGAACCAAACCAAGGGGGTGAAACGTGTCCAGTTTTTGGTAAAACTGCAAGTGTGAGTGCACCTAAATTTAGCTCCTAGACTAGCACTAGAATGTGATTTTCAGTGACATTTGGGGGGTTCCAATATTACCACCTGCCTTAGCTACTGAGAATGGATGCCATTTTCAACTGAAATTTAGGATGCTATTGTGGCTTTTGAGGTATGAGCCTACTGTAAAAATTCCTATCTTTGTGTACTAATGCATAAAATACCATGACAGCTCTTAGGGTTTCAAGGGGATTTTGCCCGATAAACTAACCCTAATAGAACATAATTTATTTGACATTTATTTGCACTTAAGAAAATAACACTATATATGTTTAAAAGAACAATGTACTCTACAGACTCGAGAGCAATCTGACTGGTAGTCTGGGAGAGAGTGTTTTGTGCACGCTGGGCTTAAGTATTGAGTAGTTGGAATTAAGATTTAATGGCTTGTGAACTAACAAAATATTTGGCTTTTAATGTTCATATTTTTTGCCAATCACCATCCAACCAGGTGTTGCCTAATTCTGTTCCTATTTGAGAGTTTAGAGAGTGGATGGAAATTAGTAATTGATATTCTATGACTGTGGTTATCAGCATGTGTGCATTTTTATCGATGTTTTCCCAAAAGTGGTAATAATAAGTAATATGTGTCATGAAATCTGGAGGGGAAATGTAAAGAAAAAAAAATGTATTAGGTTTGGTAACCAAATGGGGCTTTTCATATGCTTCTATTTACTCTAGACTACAAAAAATAATGGATAGATATGGAAATAGGCCATTGTGGGGCAGTTGGTCTCTTCTTATGGTGGTGGTTTGGATAGCTGAGAAAGCTTGACAGCATTGGCTGGCATAGCATGATAATTGGAGCACAAGCCTATTTTGGAATGTATCAGTTCTGGGGACATATTGGAGGAATGAACCTTTGTGAGGGAAGTGAAACATAGAAGGAGTATTTAAAGTATATGTGAGAATCCACTTTTAATGCCATAGAAACAACGTAAGAAAGGCAAAATTGAAGGACATGAAGTGATAGCTCATAAGTTCTACGTGCACACCAATCGCAGCATCCACCTAGTTATCTCACCTTATCTCCTTGTCCTTCCTTTCCTCCCTCACCTCCTGATTGTGAAAATATTAATAGGGAATGAGAGGCATATACTGAGTCATAGATACATTTGGAAATGTGAATGAATAGTAAACGCATCAATAATTTTCCTTGTTTTCCTGATGAAGCTTGATAAGTGAAATGTGTTGAGAAAGACGACCTCTGTGGAAACCAAGCAAAAGCAAACCTCTGGACTAATTGATACATGTTCTGTACATAGCAGCAGGTTGGCCATTCATGGGGTATTCTTTCTAAAAAGATAATATTTTGTCTTATTTTATTGTGCAATATCCTTATGGAATAATAATGGATATTTTATATTTTAACAAAATGTACAAATATGCATTGGGATATTTTAATTTTTGGGAGTCACGAGTAAATATAAACACTTTAAAAGCTCCAAAAGACATCTTGCCAAAATATTTATAATTCAGTTCAGCTAGTCTTGTGATTCTTTGTCCACCTGCCTGCCCATTAGACTATGAATAAGTATCATCACACTGCTAAAGTCCTTCTATTACTCATTTTCTTCTGTATTTGTCCAAACACTTTCCATTTCAGCTCCTAGTACCTGAAAACATGATAGATCACAGCACTATGCAACACAGTACAGCCTTAATGACTTTCCTGGTGCCAACATGGCAGCATACTATCACATGTACACTGCCATGGATTGGGGCCACGAAAGGAAAATTACAATACGTATTTAATACAATTTTCCATTTTCAGCGCATAACCTTTGACATTTAGACCGATTTCTGTTGAGCAGGGAACTATGGTATACGACAATGGTAGATTGTAGGCAGCTGTACTTCTAGTATTTTAAAAAACATTTAATTATATTTTAATAGACTTATAACTAGGCCAAAATAATAACCCATCTATGGATACTTTACATGTTGAGTAATATAGAGCAAATTTAAATAAATAATGTCTGCTTACAACATTGTAGCAATTACTTCTAAAAGTATCAAACATTTGCTGGACATTTCAGTATGGCATCGTTTATACAGTATAAGATATTTCAGAGGGTTTAGTAATAAAGTTTTCACATTGATATATGCACACACATTTCAGAAGAAATATTTCATATGTATAAGGTTGGTCTATAGAAAGCAACAATTTATAACATACACCTGCTTTCGAGTCCTGATATGCTATGACAGTATACAGACACCTAGTAATTTTAAAGGAAACTGGTCATAAACTAGTAGATTTTAAAATGACAATTTGTACCAAAAATTCTCAGTACATTCAATGACCTAAGAAATGTCATTCAAAACTACTTAAAAATTTAATTTGCTTTCAATATTGGAATGAATAAACTTATCCAAAAGAAACCCACATACACTGTTAAAAAATATGTTGGTTATAGAAATGGTTTCCATCCTGCTCCTTTGAATTTGCTCATCACTGCGGTCGAAAACAAATGTCCAATTGACCCTACTAACAATTAGAAAGTTGAGCATTTGCTAAAATGAAAAAGTTCTAATGAAATAGAGCTGGTGCATGGTCAGCTATAAACAAAAGTCAAACATTATGACTTAACCTAGGACATAAAAAACAGACATCTAAATACGCCCAAAACTCCAACTTTGGGGCTCAGAGATTCAATCTGCACACTGAGCGCCCCTAACCTTCTGTGATGCTGCAGAAGGTGAGTGAGGTATGTGCAACTACCTTTCTTCTTTTATTTGTCAAGGTCAGGTTTTAACATTTAACTTTAGTACAGGTTCACTTTAGTTCTTTTAGTTTTTTTTTTTTTACTGTAAAACGGCTTGGAAAATTAAACAATGGGCTGAACACTATAGATAACTGAATTTCCAATAATTTTCTGTGAACACATGGAATAATTTAACAGACATCCGTAAATGTTATATAAAGCAAAGATATGTAGCTTTATTCCTTAAAAGTTTTATTTAATCCAAAACTGAACAGCAGACATTGCTGCACTAGACTTTATAGTCCTGCTGACCCCTGCAGCGATGTCTCACTCACACCCTGTAATTTAAAATAAAAGAATTACATAACAGGCAAAGCATGACTCGCTTGAAATAACTGGGGAAGGTAACTGGACTTAGGAAATACCCAAAGCATTTAGGAATAGAATGAATGGTTCAAACTGACAGTAGCTACCCAAAATGTGGAATAAGTGAAGGCCAGTAAATTTGACATAAAACATTATAAGAAATGCTGGCACAAATATTTTCAAGTTCTTTCCTGAGTATCATACCCTTGAGGGATCCCAGTGCTGGACCAGTGGGCTGCAACTTGGGAAGACAGGTAAAGATGTCTAATTGACTACTTTTAAACGTTAATGACTGGTTTACTACCTGTCAGATATGAAAGATTTGCCTTTAATATCCTATTATTTTGGCTAACCATTTAATTCTGACCTATCACTATTCCTAGATTAAATGTGCACCTAAACTGCAAGGTCTGCTTACTTAGTGTGCCTCCCCATCTCAAAAAAACATCCATAGGGGAAAAAAGTTAGCTAACTAATATAATTACTTTACCCCCGCATCAACCCACAATGTCTACATAAGGCTGACATTGTTCAGCTCTGGCGAGATCCTGGGGAATGTTGAGTAGCCCAAATCTCACAAGAAGAAGCTCTTCTACTGTTCTGGAGCATCATATAGGCACTTTTGGACTACTCAGTATCTCGGCATCTGATTGAAAGGATAGTGATGTCATTCCCAGCAGTATGGTAAGCTATCTACTGTAAATAAACAAATTTTTTTTTAAACTCACAGGTTTCTTACTTCATCTTCAAGTGGTTTAAAATACAGTAGAGGGGTAATGCTAAATAAGCAGACCTTGCACACAACTGCACAACTGGGATTAACAAAAGTTCCAAAAATTAGAAAACAAAGCTCATAAACCAGCAATCGAGGAACCAGGTAATAAAACATAGAAGAGAAAATATCCAGTCATTATCATACCTTATATAACATACAACAAAGGAAACAGATTTTACTATTTTTTAAATAATGATCAAGGATTTAATTCATCTTGTTTCAATATCATTACAGAAAATGTTATGGTACAGAGTTCTTCAATAATTCTTTGCTTCTTTATCTCCACATGAATGCTGGTACACTGTAATCTGTACAAGATCAGTTTTTGATTTTTTTTTTTCTGTACATTTTTTTAAATGTATTGGTTAAAAAGGCTGTCAGCACTTAAGGAAGCAATTTTTTATTCAAATAAAAGGTATTCAGTTACTGCCCAATAGTACTGAGCGGAGTGATTGCCAGGACGTCCGTCCTCCTTGTTAAGAAGATGGGGAGTCTTCATCCAGACGCAACCACTTTGCTTTTGGCACTGTGCACATCAACACGTTATACAAGATAAAGAACAAGCAGAGCTCTCTTGTGAAGCGGTTATGAAGCATACTGATAAGGGAAACAGCAGTGTCATCTAAGCTAGTATAAAGTAAGCAGACAGCCTTGTTTAAGAGCTTAAGTATTTGTACTTTAGGGATGAGAGAAACACAACTTTTGCAGGCATCTACTGCTGTCTACTAAAAGCTACTGCTATTAGACCTAGCATTTTAACACACAAAGCAATTGCAATGAAGGAAAAGTTGCCTTGATATAATCAGAATAAGGTTTTATATGTTTTTTTTTTTTATTTTTTTTTGGAAAAAAATGTTTTTTTTTTTTCAGGGTTTTTTTTTCCTCAAAGTCATTTTTCGAAATTTAGTTCAAGATGTTGACTACACTGATCAACTTTATCCAAATCATAAAAACTAACTGTGCCATTGCATATTACAGGATACAGTCAGTCAATGATATGTGGACATGCATCAAAGCTTTTCTCTTGCGGCTGTCATCATAGCCTTCCAATGACCATGACGTCCACCACTTCTCCCTTGTGAAGCTCCACATACTGCTCTGTCTTTGGAGGTAGCATCAACAGTCCATTGGCACTTCGCATACTCATGAGGCGACTGCTCATTTGATTACCTGTGTGGAAAGACAACAACAGTGTAAGTACCCATTACATTTTATTAAAATGTACAGTGCTGTCACTATACCCTTTACGACTTGGCCTGATCCGGGTGAAATGCATCAGAGGGTGTGGCAAACAGGAGGGGACTGTAGCTGAAACATTTACTTTCACTATGTGACAAGGTTGACATAATGAACACAGTTTGAGTTTTGTTTATTGTGGCTGGACGGAGCGATATGTGGAGGAAGAACCAACAGGACAACACGCAGGAGGCTTTGAGCGATGCTAGTTTCCTATATACTGTGTATTTCCTGTAAATGTTCTGAATAGAAGTTTCACCCAAAAAAGATATTTAAATTAAAGTTGAAGTCTAAAGAGCTCAGATACCCACTAGGTTCTTTTATCTCCTGAAGACTCCTTGCGTGAGATTTCCTAGCTAGTTACCAGTTCTGTTCCCACTCGCTTTGAAGTCTCATTTCTGCTTAAATAGATGTGCCCCTGGATATTCCCACTCTGTATTTTCCTTTAAATTAAATTAACTTAAAAAAATAGAAACTATTGCTAGTTGAATTACGAAAAATATAATATATATAGATTTATTTAAACACTTTTTATTGCATGAGAGTTTAAAATACAGATTTCAAAAAAACAGAGCAGACGAGGTATTCACAGTGTGATAAGTTCCCAGTGCAAACGTTATAATAAAATGTTAATAAACAGTGACCATAACAGACTCTGTCTCCTTCTACAGTAATACAATAAGTAAAAAACTGTGTTCTACAAGTGTGGTGTGATACACCTCGAACAGGCAAGACATCATAAAGCAAGAATCTTCAGATGTTAACTGATATACCACACATCCCAGCCTTGTGATATCTCTGGGGGCACACTCTACATTCATAAAAAATTTTAACATATGGGAGGATTTGTTTGAGAGTGGTAATCCATTGAAGGATTGAGGGGGGTGAGACCATCCATTTAAGTGCTATTTGCTTCCACATCAAAAGTAGAGTTTCTTTTAAGAATGTTCTAACATATCTAGGCCATAGTTCTACGTCCAGTAATCCTAATTGACATACTTGAGGAGTAAATGGAACAGGCGGGGAAAGCAGATTAGACAATCAGTAACATACCTCCAGTAAGTGGCTATAAGGGAGTCCACATTCTCCCTCTTAGATTGTAAGCTCTAACAAGCAGGGCCCTCTGAATCCTCCTGTATAAATTTGTATTGTAATTGTACTGTCTGCCCTCTGTGGGTGCTATATAAATCCTGTATAATAATAATTAAATGATTAATTCATCCCCTGGTTGAGTACAACGTAAACAGTTTGAGTTGGTGGCTCTGCCCATAGCCAGTAAACGTACCGGGGTGAGGTATGTTTGATGAATTATGTACAACCAAATACGATTATTATTGACTGCAAACGTGCCAGTCAAATGTTAGGAAGAGGCCACCTCCCAATCTTCATCCATCATGCCACTGTGTATATATACAGTGGGGATCGAAAGTTTGGGCACTCCAGCTAAAAATTTGTATTAATGTGCATAAAGAAGCCAAGGAAAGATGGAAAAATCTCCAAAAGGCATCAAATTACAGATTAGACATTCCTATAATATGTCAACAAAAGTTAGATTTTATTTCCATCATTTACACTTTCAAAATAACAGAAAACAAAAAAATGGCGTCTGCAAAAGTTTGGGCACCCTGCAGAATTTATAGCATGCACTGCCCCCTTTGCCAAGCTGAGTCCTGCCAGTGTCATGGATTGTTCTCAATCATCGTCTGGGAAGACCAGGTGATGTCAATCTCAAAGGTTTTAAATGCCCAGACTCATCTGACCTTGCCCCAACAATCAGCACCATGGGTTCTTCTAAGCAGTTGTCTAGAAAACTGAAACTGAAAATAGTTGACGGTCACAAAGCTGGAGAAGGCTATAAGAAGATAGCAAAGCGTTTTCAGATGTCAATATCCTCTGTTCGGAATGTAATTAAGAAATGGCAGTCATCAGGAACAGTGGAAGTTAAAGCAAGATCTGGAAGACCAAGAAAAATATCAGACAGAACAGCTCGCAGGATTGTGAGAAAAAACAATTCAAAACCCACGTTTGACTGCACGATCCCTCCAAAAAGATCTGGCAGACACTGGAGTTGTGGTACACTATTCCACTATAAAGAGATACTTGTACAAATATGGTCTTCATGGAAGAGCCATCAGAAGAAAACCTCTTCTACGTCCTCACCACAAAAATCATCGTTTGAACTTTGCAAATGAACATATAGACAAGCCTGATGCATTTTGGAAACAAGTTCTGTGGACCGATGAGGTTAAAATTGAACTTTTTGGCCGGAATGAGCAAAGGTACGTTTGGAGAAGAAGGGGCACAGAATTTAATGAAAAGAACCTCTGTCCAACTGTTAAGCATGGGGTTGGATCAATCATGTTGTGTTGCAGCCAGTGGCACAGGAAACATCGCACGAGTAGAAGGAAAAATGGATTCAATAAAATTTCAGCAAATTTTGGATGGTAACTTGATGCTATCTGTGAAAAAGCTATCTGTGAAGTTAAAGAGAGGATGGCTTCTACAAATGGATAATGATCCTAAACACACCTCGAAATCCACGGGGGATTACATCAAGAGGCGTAAACTGAAGGTTTTGTCATGGCCTTCACAATCTCCTGACCTCAACATAATTGAAAATCTATGGATAGACCTTAAAAGAGCAGTGCTTGACAGACAGCCCAGAAATCTCAAAGAACTGGAAGACTTTTGTAAGGAAGAATGGGCAAAGATACCTCAAACAAGAATTGAAAGACTCTTGGCTGGCTAAAAAAAAGTGTTTACAAGCTGTGATACTTGCCAAAGGGGGCAGTACAAGATATTAACTCTGCAGGGTGCCCAAACTTTTGCAGACGCCATATTTTTGTTTTCTGTTATTTTGAAAGTGTAAATGATGGAAATAAAATTTAACTTTTGTTGACATATTATAAGAATGTCTAATCTGTAATTTGATGCCTTTTGGAGATTTTTCCATCTTTCCTTGGCTTCTTTATGCACATTAATACAAAATTTTTAGCTGGGGTGCCCAACATTCGATCCCCACTGTATATATATATATATATATATATATATATATATATATATATACATACATATATATATATATATATATATACATACATATATATATATATATATATATAATATATATATACATACACATACATACACACACACACACAGTAGATCTAGCATCATGTTAGCTTTTAAATTGTACCCTATTATACAAGTTTCTTCACATCCTCAAAATGTTTGTTATGTGCCGTGCATGTTTTTTGATTGACCAGCTGCACTAGTAAGCTCAGGGTAATGCTTTGTCTCTTTATAAAATACCAATTTTCACTATGGAAGATGACACATTCTATACAGCACAGCAACCTTGGTGTGTTCATTTCATTGATAGCATTAGTCCTTTTTTTTGCACTGTAATTTTACATTCCCTTTTATGCACATTTGCACATGCTTCCTCTTTATTACAGAGATTAAAATTGTAATTTTATATTTTTTAGACTGATAAGAAACTAGCTTGCCTATGTACTACCTACAATTGTGATAATAATGTGATACCTACAAGCATGATTATTAAAAAATTTCAAATGTGACAACTAAACAAAACAGTTATTTGGAAAGATGCTGAGTGTATCTTTTTGTGTTTGTTACCTACTGCAGTAGTTATTATTAATTTGGAACCACTGATCAATATTAAGATAGCAGTTGTCTATCTATAACATTTGCAAGACCCTCAGTAAATGCAAGCACTAGAGGTAGAAGTTCAGCCACCACTTCTTTGAATGAAATGAGCTATGGTATGTAATACATATCCGTGGGGGACACAGGGGATTGATAATCCATGGGATTAGTCCTTACATTGTGACTATAACTTTGATATGAGGCAGTCTGAAGTCCCTGTACTTTTTAAAATGGTGTGGCACAATTAAAAAGGTACAATACACTTTTTGTATACTGGGGATCAAGGTGATATGCGAAAAAGATATTTATCGGGATAGAAATATGGGAGCTGCCAATGTTAACCTTTTTTTGTAAATCGTTTTTTTTTCACTGCTTAGTGGGTTACCTCTCTTGATGCAGTCTCCAGCCATTAAGGTAAGGACTCATGATCTGCACACTTGGTTTGTCACTTGGCTATTCACAAAGCAGCAAAACAAGATTAAGCATTGTTGGAGGCCTTTCAAGTATTCACTAGCCTTTATGTAAGCTACTACTCTCTAAGTTTGGTTTTGAACTTTCCTCTAGGTAGTTTGAGGTCATGTCCTTGTGAACATATGATCCCAGCCTTATAGTGAAAGAAAAATCCTCCTTAGCCATTTTTACATGCTTAATTTACTAAGAGGTTTTAATCATGTCCCCTTTCCCTATTTTTCTTGTATGTACAATTAAATTTCAACAGTCTCTCCTGACAGATTTTATCCCTAGACCTTAAAACATTTTCGCTGCCTATCACTCTCCCTATCTTATCAGTGATTTTTGCTATGTAATACCAGCCCTATCTCATATCTCATTTCTTTTAGCTTTAAAATAGAACCTGTCAGATCCACAAAACTGGATAAACTAGCATTTCCAGTAGATAACAGGTTCTGTATCTTGTAGGGGAAAGGAAAAGGAAAAGCAAAATGTTTTTTGCGAACTATCTTAACAAAGAACAAAGGAGGCGACTAATTATTCTGTGAACCACAAAAGTAACAACATTGAAATAAGATGATGGCACCTTTTCGGTATATTAATATTTCTATTTCATTAAAGTGGTTCTAAAGTTAAAACGCGTTTTTTACCTGAAAGCATTCCCTGCATTAAAGTAAAAAAAACATTTAAGCATTTCCTGTGCTCCCCTCCCCACCCTTCAAACACTTACCTGACTCCTTCATTGATCTAGCGCTGTGCCCGTCTACCGATCCTCTGCTTTCAGACGCTGTGCTGAGACAGCGAAGGCCATTGGCTTCTGTTGCTGTCAGTGAAATCTTGGGAGCAAAGTGGGGGGCGGTGGCCGAGCCACACTGTGTGCATCAATAGACACACATCCAGGAATGTTATTGAGCCCACATGAGTGCACCCATAGCAAGCAGGCATTTGGAGAACTGCAGGAGCCTAGAGCACCAGTGGGGGACCCCACAAGCAGAGGTACCATTTCACAGGGAAAGTAAGTAAAACGTGTTAATTTAATTTTTTAAAACATGTGCCTTTACAAACACTTTAATATAATTAAAATATGAAAGTCCACCAGCACCCATGTTCCAGTCAGTCATGGTATCTCCTCCAACAATCATGACCCATCCTCCTAAGTCACCTATTTGGTTATGGCAGGGGTTTCTGGATGGGTATGGGGTGTGCAGGCAGGCCTAAGAGGTGCTAGGACAGTACATGGCAGGGCAGGGCAGAATTTTAAGAGGACCCAGAAGTCCCTGTCAGAATATGTACACCAAGAAGATAATGGCTATCATGAGTTTTCCTGCAAAGTAGGAAAGGAACAAGTTTTGCACCTGTTTGCCACATATATACTGATATGTCTAATTTTTACAGAAAGGGAAGAAGCTAAAGAAAGGCCTATGCTGATCACATGCACTCTCCCAAGAAAAAAAAAAACTCTCTAGCAATACACACCAAATTGAGGATCTGCAGCTTGCCCCCAAGGCTCTGTTTTATCGGCAGACGGATTGGGGACAGAAGAAGAAAGGGAAGATCAGAGAAGACAGGATCAAACATTCTTTTTACACAATGCGGAGGATTAACCCCTTAGGTTCCACAGCGAGTATAACAAGCATGCGTTACTACATATACAGACTGATTTTACTGTTGAGGGTTTAGTAACACTTTAACATTTAATTCACTTCCTGTTAATCATGCTATTAGATCTGTTATTCTCCACTTCCTGTAATAGTGTGACAACCCTGTGCATTGTGCAGTGAAGTTGTATCAGAGTGTTGACAAACTGTGGACTGAATAGTTTTACATGGACATGTAGTTTTAGTTGGACTTTAAGTAAGAGAAACAAATTAGAGCACAACTTCAGTTAACACCTTTTATGCAACTAAATCTTTTGTTTTCTATTGATAAAAGGTCTATATATAAAAAGTTGACCATTGTAAGCACCACCAACAGTGTGGACAGTGCGGCTTGTTTCAGGATGTAGAAAAACAACATATCTACTGCCAGGATCAACAGATAATACAACACAAGCTTTAACTCAACATTTATAGAAATAAAAAGATCTGTAACTTACACTGACCTGTACTTTGTGCCCAAGGCAGTGGCTCTTGGTGATGCCATGTCAGTATGCAGCGATGGTACTCAGGGCGAGGATCCAACTTTACATCACATGATAACTGTAAATCATATAGAACGCAGAACAGTGTAAAGACAATAAACAGAAATACTTACACAATTTTCACATTGGAGGATCCTTATTATCTTCCATATTATGGATTCACAGCACATTATCATGTAAATTTGTATTCACCATAAAATCCTTTTAGGAATCCATTGAGGAACGCACAAAAATTCTAAAGCTTTACTCTGGGGAAAACAAAAATTGTCTCTTGCAGTGGGGCTGTTTGCAGCACTGCAAGGGTTATGCTTTTTTATGTCTAGGGTACCAGAAGAAGCAGCTTTACTTATCTAATAATCCACCCCTGCAGACTCCCTCCACACCACTAGAATGCTCCCTGCAACCTCCCCTAAACCGAAACTTGCAGTGCAGGGGAGTTTTCCTTTCCCTGCAGATAGGCTTTAAACATTCAGGTTAAACTGTTACCTACAGGATTGGACACTGGCAAACCAAAAAGCTGTAAGCCAGCCCAGAGTATAACTCCACCTACTACCAGCATGCCTCCAGTTTAGTAGTAGTATGGCAGTACCAGGAGCATGAGTACACAGAGGGGTAGGACCTGTATTCCTCCAAAAAAAGGATTTTATACTGAATACAAAAATTCAATTTTCCTTTTCATCTACTGAAGTACCAGAAAGTCTTAAACCTTCAAGACATCCAAAAGCAATCCTGAGCGGTGGGCAACACAACCAAAAACAGCTAACAAGCCCAAAAAGAACAAGAGACTGCCATCAGCTTAAAGAACTGCATGAATGACCTCACATCTGAAGCTGGAATCAGATGAGGTGGAGAACATGTGAACAGAAGACCGAGCGTGAGCATTAGAAAGTGAGTCCTGAAGCCAAAATGCCCAAGAAATGCTTACAGGCCTGGTGGAGTGAGCTCTTACTGGAAAGGTGGAAACCTGAATGCTGGGGTGATCTGCCTAAGCCTCCTAGAAATGGAGGAGGCCACATCACGGTCTTCTGGCCTTCACACAGAAACTGAAAAAGCATGTGCAAATGGAAATTTTTTGAGCCTTCAGGGGTCCTGTACGACCTAAGTCTCAGTAGAGTAATGGAAAAGTGCTGTACACCAAAACCAAGGGCTGAAACAGTCTTTTTTAACTTAGCAGGAACAGTGGATGACTGCGACTCCTTAGGAAAAAACTCATCAGTCAATGACTTGAGCGACTCAGTATCAGAAAAAGTCCCCAAGTACAAGGGCTCAGAAATGGCTAAGGCTGCAGACAGATCAGACACCAAATCTGCTGAGGTGCGAGGTAACATATTTGCAGCCTCTAAGATCAGCTTTGCAGGAGTCATAAATCAGCTGGATAACCTGTGACAAAGTCTTTCATAGCTGTAGTAAAGCATGTTAGCCCCCCTCCATGGAAAGCCGGCAGGAAAAATGGGGAGTACAGTTTGGTACCCAGTGACTAATAAAGGGAGCACCTAGTGCCCAGCCTGAATGGCCTACTCCCATGAGTAGTATTCGAAGGCAGATTAAACACACAGCAATTATGCCAGCAGCTTTGAGCCTGGACAGCGCTTTGCAGCTAACATAACCAGAACCAGTTTGGAAAAGGCTCAAGCAAAGCTCAGTGTTTGAGGGTCATTTCAAGGCTCACCTTGCAACACCCAGTCCAAGGTCCAGTTAAGTCTAGACTTAAAGGCTGAGAGAAACTGCAATGGATAGCTACAAACAAGGTAGGGAGAGTACTAGCAGTTACAGGGTGTAGATCCTCAATTAAAAAACAAATGCTAGAAACATTAGAGGCTAAGTCTTAACTTCAGTGGAACTGAAGAAAAAGAAATCAATTCTCCATGGACACTAGCAAAAAACTGAGGCATGCTGGCAGTAGCAGGGGTTATAAAGGACAAAAATTTCCAGTCTGATTTTCTTTCGTGTTTCCTGGTATGTTAGCAAAATAACACTTGGTAATGCCCATGAGGTAACGCACTGCAATGCATCAGATAGTTGTGAATGGAGCCCAATGTGCATATATATATATATATATACACATACACACACACACATATATACACACACACACACTGTTCAAAAAAATTAAAGGAACACTTTAAAAACACATCAGATCTCAATGGGGAAAAATATCATGCTGGATATCTATACTGATATGTATTGGGTAATGTGTTAGGAATGTAAGGATGTCCCAATGTCTGATGGAAAGTAAAATTATCAACCTACAGAGGAATGAATTCAAAAACTCCCCAAATATCAAAGTGTTAAAATGAGGCAGCAGGCTAGTCCATTTTGCTGAAATTTCATTTCAGCAACTCAAAATGACAGTTTGTATGGCCCCCACATGCTTATATGCATGCCTGACAACAACGGGCAGGCTCCTAATGAGACGACAGATGGAATCCTGGGGTATTTCCTCCCAGATCTTGCCCAGGGCAGCACTAAGCTTCTGGACAGTTTGAGGTGCAACCTGGTGGCATCGAATGGACTGAAACATGATATCCCAGAGGTGTTCTATTGGATTTTGGTCAGGTGAGTGTGGGGGCCATTCAATGGTATCAATTCCTTCATCCTCCATGAACTGCCTGCATACTCTCACCACATGAGGTCGGGCATTGTTGTGCACCAGGAGGAACCCAGGACCCACTGTACCAGCCAGCATAGGGTCTGACAATGGATCCAAGGATTTCATCCCGTTACCTAATGGCAGTCAGGGTGCCATTATCTAGCCTGTGGAGGCCTGTGCGTCCCTCCATGGATATGCCTCCCCAGACCATCACTGGTCCACCACCAAAACGGTTATGCTGAACGATGTTACAGGCAGCATAACATTCTCCATGGCTTCTCCAGATCCTTTCACGTCTGTCACATGTGCTCAGGGTGAACCTGCTCTCTTCTGTGAAAAGCACAGGGTACCAGTGGCGGACCTGCCAATTCTAGTGTTCAATGGCAAATACCAATCAAGCTTTATGGAGCACAAGGTCCACTAGAGGACGTTGGGCCCTCAGGCCACCCTCATGAAGTCTATTTCTGATTGCTTGGTCAGAGACATTCACACTAGTGGCCTGCTGGAGATCATTTTGTATGGTTCTGGCAGTGCTCATCCTGTTCCTCCTTGCATAAAGGAGCAGATACCGGTTCTGCTGATGGGTTAAGGACAGGGGTGGGCAACTGTCGCCCTCCAGCTGTTGGTGAACTACAAGTCCCATCATGCCTCTGCGTTTGGGAGTCATGCTTGTAACTGTCAGTTTTCCAATGCCTCATGGGACTTGTAATTCTACAACAGTTAAAGGGCCACAGTTGCCCACCCCTGGTTAAGGACCTTCTACATACCTGTCCAGCTCTCCTAGAGTAGCTGCCTCTCTCCTGGAATCTCCTCCATGCTCTTTTTTTTTTATTTAAATATTTATTGATTTTTCAATTAAATACATATTTCCATCATTATCACATAAGAAAAAAAATGCAAAAATCATTCCTTGTTTACACTTTCTAAACCTATTTCCCAATCCCTTCCCCTCCCTCCCCCCTGCCCCCATCCCCGTCAACCTTCTCTGCATTCTCTCCAGATCTTCCTACTAAAGCAAGTAGAGTTTAATCTTTATTTCTCCTTATAGTTTCCTATATTTCGTATTCAATCCAGCTTTTTCCCATTTTTTCCCATTTCATATAGTAAACCTCCATCTTATCTTCCTGCATGTGATAAAGTTTTTCCATCTTTCTAATCTGATTCACTCTATCTACCCAGTCTTCCTCTCTCGGCACCTCTGCTTTCCGCTAGAACTTGGGTATCAAACCTTTTGCAGCAATAAGATAGTACCATATACCTGATTCCTTATATTTATTCACTGTTAAATCTGTACTGTGCAGGAGACATATTTCTGAGTCCAACCCAACATCTATTTCAGTTATCATTCCAATTAAATAAATTATTATCTTCCAGAATACTTGGATTTGTGGGCACTCCCACCATATATGGTACGTTGTACCTATCTCTCCGCATCCCCGCCAACACCACGGTGAATTCTCCCCACACATCTTATGTTAAACATTCGGTGTAATGTGCCATCTTATCAAACACTTATAATTTTTTTCTACCTCCCTCATACTTACATTCTTGTGAGATAATGTATATATTTTCTTCTGTTTTTCCTCATCTATCACAACCACCATATTTCTTTCCCATTTTACTATATATATTGGCTTTGTGTTTGTGTCCAGTTCAGTAAGAATTTTATAAACTTTAGCAATACCGTGTTTCCCATCACCTCATGACCCCAACTACTTTTCAAACAAATTCCAGTCCCCTCTAGTTCTCAAGGGTTTCGAAAGATTCCCAACAAAACATTTCAATTAAAAGTAACGCCACTCATCTATCTTAGTGAATATCTCTCCCTTTTTCTTTTCCAAATCCTTAAATGATCCCAATCCACCCCCCACCATAACATCCCTGAATTGAACATCCTCCTTTTTAAACCATTTACCTGCTATCTCTTCTCTACCGGGGGGAAAAAACTCTGTGTTTCTTAGTGGCATGAATGTAGAATTGAAATCCCACTTCATATTTTTGTGCAAATTATCCCAAACCCTTAAAACATTTAAAGTGTATATACTTACATTATCTTTTAATCCTCTATATTGTGGTGGTACCCATATAACTTTACTTGAACTAGTTTCTCTGAGTTTATTTTCAATTTTAACCCAACTTTTCTCATAATTATACGTCCAATCTAAAATTCTTGCCAATATTACTGCTTTGTAGTATCTTCTAAAATCTGGTACCCTCAATCCACCCTTCTCTTTGTTCCTACTTAGCAATTCATGGGATATTCTTGTTTTTTTATTCCTCCATATATATCTTATTTTTTTAATTGCTTTAAAGAAGGCTTCTGGGAGTTTAATTGGAATCATTTGGAATCTATATAGGATTTTAGGTACAATTACCATTTTTCCCAGATTTATACGTCCTATCTATGTTGGATTTCATCCTTCTAATGTTTTTAATTCCTCCCTAATCTCGTTTAACAGTGAGATATA